ATGCAGTGCCCCCCCCAGGACCTTTGACACCTGGGGATCTGAGAGGCCCTGGTTTTGATGTCTCTGGATCCCCCCCCCCCACCAGACTGTTTTCTTTCTCCACCCTCACCACGTCATTCCTGTGTTACAGGTGTATCTTCAAGCTGAGGGACCACTTACTATGACCCCATATTGGTGAGAACCCTTGCTTCCACTCCCTGACCCACACGCTTCCCCCCCATCTAAAATACCTTCATTTGGGGTGACTTCACATCAGATATCTCTGGTGTGCCAACGTTTGTGGGGGGATGTACATGCAATTCCCTTTTCATTTATAGCAGTGGGAATGTAGCCAGAATGGGCCTGGGTCCACATCCCAGCTCTGCTGTTCATGGGCTTGGAGAACTAGGCAAGTGATTGGTCTCCTGAGCCTCAGTTTCTAAATCTGTAGAGTAGGCACAACACATTAGGAGCATATGGGCCTGAATCCTCTGCACAGTTGGGGACCGGGTGGGGGCAGCAGTGATGTTTCCCATCTTCAAACGTAAGGGTTGAATTAGATGGAGAATACATAGATTGTGGAAGAAAAACATGTATTTGGGTTTCAAGGAAAAGGACTAATCAGAAACCTAATTTCCAAAGTCAGCAGAACAAAAGAAACAAGCTGGCAACATTTATCACTGTTAATACTGAGGGTTTTATAGATTGAATAACTTATACTTTTAAGCAGAGCTTAGCTTCCCAAGAATCCTGTATATATAAACTGATGCAGTTATTAAAGTTACCCTTGATTTACACAGTAACCATTGTTTAAAGGGACCGTTTATCTGGGGAATGTTGCACAAGTGTTTCAAAGAGCTAAATCAAAATGGGCGTAGAGACCTGTTACCTGAAAAGAAACAAGTGTTCTCTGCTCTAGGAGGCTTTTTTCTGTTGGGAACAGAACTGCAAGTGTATTCTCTGGCGTCCTTGGAGGTTTCAGCTCTTGCAGACGACACTTTAGGGAGGAGAAGCTACTTTCCGTGATAAGTGAGCTCAGATTTCAGATCATGAGTGTCGTAGGACGGGCGCACGTCGCCTGAGGTGTCCCCCTGCAGAGCTCTGACCGTTCGTGCTGCTGAGAGGGAGTTTCTGGGAAAATGGAATAGGAAGTGTCCATTTGTTCGGCAAGGACAGGTGAGGGGAGACGAGAGCGGAACTGGAGGCTTTGGAAGATGCGAGGTGTGGGCAGAGCAGACATGGGGGTGTTTTCAGGAGGGTGCTCCTTGGATCTGAGCAGAGGAGGGAGGCTCCCTTCCCCTCACGGGTCTGTCAGGCAAATCTCTTCCATTTTCCAGGAGGAGAAACAGCCCCGGGGTTGGGGGAGGGGGGCTGAAGTCAGTTGCTGCAGATCATACAAGTGACACCCATGGATGAGCCACAGTGAGGGGTGGGCAAGGGGAGATGAGGTGGGGGGGGGGTATGGCATCAAAAGGCACCTGATGGGGGCTTGCTCCTTGGCATCCCAATGGCCAGGTATTGGTCATTTGTCCTACCTGGATGAGCTCTTGTCTGTCAGCCCCCTTAGGACTGGAGGCAGGTGGCTCTGGGACCTGAGTGAGGAGGTAGACAAGGGCACCGGGGGCCCCCATGATGCCCAGCACTGGGCTCTGACCTCCCTTGAGGACACAGTGCCCCCCCAGGACCTTTGACACCCGGGGGGTCTGAGGGGCCCCCCACTCTGGGGAGGGAGGGATGGAGGGCCGTGGTTGCCCTGGGCCCCGCCGACCTGCTCTTAACCTCTCTGACCCCTTCTCGTCTGCAGGTGGTTCCTCCAGGAGTCGAACAGCCCCACCATCCGTGTGCTTGGTAAGAACAGAAGAGGGTCTCTTATTATTAATACCATAATGGTAATAAATTTGTCATTTTATGGTAATAACATAAAAGCAAATCCTGAGCATTTACTTAGAGCTGGTCTAGTGCCAAGCATTAGATTCACTTACTCTTCACAGTATCCCTGTGAAGTGTGAGGAGTGGCAAGGGGAGGTGGTTACGAGAGAGGTTGCCGTGATGCTGTCAGGGCTTTTGAAGGGGCTGTGCTTGGGACCCCCATGATGTCCAGCACTGGGCTCTGACCTCCCCTGAGGACACAGTGCCCCCCGGGACCTTTGACACCCGGGGATCTGACGGGTCCCACTCTGGGGAGGTGCTGGAGGGTGTGGCTGTTTTCCCACCTGATGGCCTTTGTCCTTCCCTGAAGCTCCTGAGCCAGCGCCCCTCTGGCTTCCTACCGTTCTCTGCAGGGGACAGCTGTGACCATGGCCGAGAGAGCACTGGCGCCCACCCAGATGGGGCGGGGGGACCGTTATTACACGTACACCGAGCTCCTGGCCATCTCGCGGCGCTTCAAGCAGAACCCCAATGAGCTCATGATCACCTGGATCCTGCGCGTCTATGACCAGGGCGGGCCAGCCCTGTCCCTGAATTCTGGAGAGCTGGCCCTGCTGGGCGACCTGACCAGCGATGCCATCTTCAACTACCGCTGTAAGACCCTGCGGGGCAGCTGCAAGGCCCTGCTCACCTGGCTGCTGCTGGCCTGGCGCCGGCGCTGGGAGTCCTTCCTGCACTTCGAGGCCACTGAGCTGCCCTTCCGCCCCTGGACCACCATGGAGGAGGGCATCCAGCTGGTGCGTGAGCTGGGCATGCTGGACTGGATCTACCGCGAGCCGCCCTCCCCTCCTGCAGGAGAGCAGGGGCTGAGGCCCGCGCCCGAGGACGTGCCCTTCACGCAGGGCCTCCAGCGGCGCCTGCTGACGGCCGCACCCTCGGAGCTGCGGCTCTCGCTCGTCAGCCTGCTGGTCAAGGGCATGACGGTGCTGGAGGCGGTGATGGAGATCCAGACCATCGCCGACGTGGGCCTGCTCTGGCGCCAGAGCCAGCCGGGCCGCGCCAAGCTCATGTTGGGGCCCAACCCGACGCGCAAAGACCTCATGGGCTGGCTGCTGAGCCATGGCGTGCCCAAGGAGCGGGTGGACAAGCAGCCCACCAAGGTCCTCCTCGAGCTGTACATCAAGGAGGCCAAGCGCAGCCGCAGCCACCCCGCCCACGTGCTGGGGGAGGAGCAGCCCCCGCCTCCCCCCTACTCAGACCAGGCCTGTGGGGAGGAGCCGCCCGTGCGGCCCGACTAGGCCTCCGGGGCTTGGCCTGCTAGATGGTACTCGGTGGCGGAGGGAGGCTGGATTCCGGGGGAGACAAAGTCAGAGCCAGCGTCCCCTGAGCGTGCGCCCCCCAGCGTGGACGGAGGGATGGCCCGTCTGCCTGTTCTCCCGCCTCCCAAGGGCAGGCTGCCCTGTTACTGTATTTGAGGTTCCCAGGAGAGAGGGCTGTCCTTGCCCCAGCCACCCCACAGGTGTCACCAGCCAGTGGTGGAGGAAGGCGAGCCCGCCTGTAGCCCTGGGTGCCTTGTTCTCCCTGGGGCACAGCCTGTTCCTTTTTAGTCTGTTACATTTCAGTCCGATGGGCACAGTGGGTGGGCACCCACCCCTCGGCCACATGGGCCCCCAAAGCACTACAGGCCAGGTGGGGAGACCCCACAGCCCATGATACGAAAGCACCTTGAAGTTTGTACCCTTTTTCTTAAGGTATTTTTAAATGCAATGTTTTTACCTGATAATTTAAGTATATGCAACACTTCGGTTTTAGGGACGCTCCTTTCTCTTGGAATGGTTTTTCCCTTAAGACTTTTTTTATTTTTATTTTATTATTACTATTTTGCAATTCCTTTCCGTTTTAAAGTGGCCTGCTGCTGCTTGCTCACCGGGAGCCAGTCCCATCTGATTTCTCTCGGTGGATGTGTGACCTCTGGCCAGTGTCTGTCACATCTGGATTAAAGGTGGTGGGGCCAAGAATCACAGCTTCGTGAGGACAGACAACCACCCTGGCAGGCCGCACTAGGCACGTGGGACTCATTAAATAACGTGAGCACTGCTGTGTGTGGACTGTGGTGTCTGACGGGTTGTGGTGTGGTCCTGGTGTGAATCCAGAACCCTCCTGGGGTAAGGGTGAGGATCACGGGCCATGGCCCCAGGGAGGTCTCCCATCTCCTTGGGCTATCCTAGTATGCTGAGAAGGCTGGGCTCCTGTTGGGGCCACTCAAAACAGGGTAGGGGAACCTGCTAGAACTTTGGCTCTGAATCTCTAAGCAAGAAGATGCTTCTCCCCCCCACCCCCACCCCCCAAGTGCATGACACTTTTTGAGGCCCTGTGATGGCTCCATACCTCCAGGGACGATGATGGGCAGGGTGGTGTGCAAGTTCTGAGAGCCCAGTCCCCACCCAGGGATGGGCACGGAGGAGGGAGGTCCCAAGCTTTTCTGAGCTGTGCAGACAGGGCTGCTGGCCCCTGTCCGAGGGCCCTGGCACCTCACTCCCCGCAGGTGGAAGTTTGGGGATCTGGGGGCTAGGAGTAGCTTCTGTCTATAAGTCGGTCACCTCCCGCTACCCCATTCTGTTGGGCAGCTGCACACCGGCCTCCCCCCCGATCGCAGTGCTGTGCCGTACATGCAGCTGATGACCTAGGCATGACTGTCAGTGCCCCAGATTTGGGCCACTCAGTGCTTGGTACGTGGTGGGGAGGGGGCACCTCCCCTCCTGGGATGAGCAGTTAAGTGCAGGAACACCACGAACAGAGCCTGCTGTTTCTGTCAGCAGGTGTGCAGTGGCTTTTCTTAGTCTCCAGTGCTGCCCGAGCTGTGCTCTTGGTGACGGGGGCCCCATCTACCGTCCGAGCAGCGCAGCAGCCGCCAGCCGTGTGTGACCAGAGTCCTTGAACTGCGGCCAGTGCAGCTGGGACCTCAGTTCTCCACTTGACTTCGTTTAAGTGGCCGCGTGGCAGCCGGCGGGTGCTGCCGCAGGCCACCGCCAAGCGGTCGGAGCCTGTGCGGTGCTGGGAGCCCTGAGCGGTATTCCCAGCGCCGCCCGCGCTGCCGGCGGCCGGGAGCCCCGTGGCCAGGGTGGTGGGGTCTGCCAGACGCGGTGGGGGCCCAGGGGCCGGTCGCTCGGAGCCCGCCTCCGGCTTTGCCGTGGCTCCGGACCCGGCACTTGCCGAGCGCTGTCCCTGTGCACGGCGGGCCTGACCCACCCCACCGCAGCCGGAGGATGGAGAAAAGGGTGACGCCGGTCTACGGCACTGAGAGCCTGCGAGGGTCCCGGAGCCAGGTCTCCACGGAGCGTGTGACCCGCGGAGGGGCTCCCTGAGCTGGTGTGCGCGCCCCGTGTGCTGTGCCCACGGACGCATGTCCCCACGGGTACTGACGTGCCATGCGCCCCCGTGCGTGTGCAGAGCTGTGCGTGAGTACACAGCACCCGCACGGGCGGGCGTGCCTACGCACGGACCAGCGTGCACGTGCGTGCACGGAGATGGGTCAGGTGGGCGCGTGCACCCGTGTGCGCAGAACCCAGGAAGCACGCGTGTATGCACACGCGTGCCACGTACGTGTACGCAAGCCACCCTTAACGCATGCCCATGTGCACACGGATGCCGACCCGCAGGAGCGCGCACGACTGCCTGCAGCTTCCCGGCCAGGGAGCGCCCCCTCGGTTCCCCAGAACGGGCACACGCAGTAAGTCAACGGAAGCCAAAGCAGCGTGGGGAGCAGACGTGTTGGGACGCAGTGCCAGCTGTGGGGGGGGGGTGCCCGGGCTCCCAGCTCACACGGGGCCCCCCCAGGCCCGCAGGCAGCTGGGTCTCCAGGCCAGCAGGCCCAGCCCCGCGCTGAGCACCCCCAGCACCACCACGGCCCCGGCCAGCAGGGGCACCACAGTGGCTGCGGGGAGAACACGGGAGTGTGAGTCACGGGACCGGCGCCCCCCCACACTCCCACCCCAGTGCCAGTGGCCGTCACCTGCAGGGGTGGCAGGCTCAGGGGGGCCGTGGCAGGGGACCCCGTGAGCCGGAGGCCGGGCCGGGGCGGTGAGCTGGCGGAAGCGGCCTAGCGGGCAGGCGCCTGGGCACCCAGGAAGGCTGAGGGGCAGGGGCAGGCCGGTGGAGTCGTTGCGGTAGAAAAGGGAGATGGTGACGTTCCTGGAGGAAGACAGGAGGTGGTGGCACCCGGGCCCCTCCTCAGCTCCCCCGCCACTGACTTAAATCTGGAGAGGAGTAGCCGAGTGGAGACACTGGGCTCCTGAGTCCTACCTGTCACCCTCCTTGCACCATCCCACACAAATTCCCCTCCACCTGGAATCCCATCTCTCTTCTTGAGACCATTCTGTCCTGCCCATCCCCGGGTGCCACCCCCTCCTTACCCTGCATCTTCGTCCGGGTCCCCGAGGCGCCTCCGGAATTCAAAGCCGAGGCAGGCAGCATACGGTGGGGTGTGCCCATCATAGAGACCCAGGGCTCCCTGGAGGGCCAGCAGGGTGCTGTCGTGCTGCAGGTGGGTCCCAGGGCTGAGACACGGCTCCTCTCTCGATGTCTCCTCTCTCCTGAACTCTAGATTTGTACATCTGGCTTCCTCCCAGATGTCTCCCAGATCTCTTAGAACTAACCGCCCCCCCAAATCGGCTCATCCTGGAGGCAGTGCCACCAGTTACAGGGGATCCTTTAATGAACATTGGTCAAATAGATGCAAAAATATGATCGGGTAGCTCAGTTAAACAGCTTGTCCTTCCAGAAGAGCTAAATTCTCTTGTAACACCATCACCTCCCTCCTTCCAGACTGCGTACCTCTAGTGATATGGTCTGAGAGTATGGTTTGGAGATATGAATTACCCAGGGCAGTGGGCTGAAGTTCCATTGAGACCACCCACCAGCTCTTCCTCACCTGCATCGCCATCTGCCATCCCCCTCATCCCTGTGCCCACGTGGCACTGCCTCCCTTCCCAAAGACTCACAGCTGAGTACATAACCATCTTGAGGGGCAGCCCCAGGCGCTGGACCCGAGAGAAGTTGGCAAGGATGGCATCCAGCAGGATCCCTGAGAGGGCAAGAACAGAGTGCTGAGAATCCCCCAGAGGAAGGTGCTTTGGCCACCCAGCCTCCCAGCCCCACACCTCACCCCCTGTCAGCTGGGCCTTCTCGGCTGCCCGGGGTGGACCCACGTGGGCCCCAATATCCAAAGCTGAGATCTGGGCTAGTGTCCGTAGGACATCCGGGGAGGCCCAGGATGGGAGGGGAAGACCATGGGCTTGCTGGAGAGAGACAGGGAGAGAAGACAAAGTGACTGGGATATCCTGAGCTCGTCACGTCCCCTCAGGCCTTCCCAGTGCCCGTGCTGTCCCCCTGAGCTGCAGTCCTCTCTCCCACCCCTCTTCCGAACCCCTCATGGGCTGGGTCTTGTCCGGAAGTCATGGCCAATAGCAATCATTAATTAATAATAATGACCATCACCCCACAACCCAGGAGCCCTCACGCACAGAGCCAGAGGTGTTTCAAACTTCAGACGTTTTGGAATCTAGAAGGTTCCCGTGGTGGCAATACCGTCTCCCTCAGAACACATCCAGTGGGGGCTGGGCAACCCTCTTAATCACACACACTGCTATTCCCACCGTGCAACTAGGATAATTCTCATGGAATGGGGTAAGCAAAGACTATCTATCTGAAGGGCATCACGCCGGTTCAGGTCAGCTCCGGCTCCTCAATTTTTGGGTTTGGGACCTTTTCCCACAGGAGAACTAACAGAGGAGGAATGACAAACACGTAGCCTCAAGCCTTCCTGCAGACCTCACTGTGTGCCAGGCACTGTTCTAAGCACATCGCGTGGATTAACCCGTTTTGATCTTCACAGAAACCCCAAAGGGTGTTGGTATGGGTTTTGCTATCCCCACTGTGCAGATGGGCAAACTGAGGCACCAAGGGTTAAGTGACTTGCCTGAGGGAACACAGGTAGTGAGCAGCAAAGCTGGGATTTGAATCCAGGTTCCCTTAATCACTGGGTTGGGTGGGTGGGGCGGGGGCTCACCTGGCACATCAGCGTGTCTAGAACCTTCCACGCCCTGCGGAGCGGCTCTCCGACCAACGACAGTCCCGTGTAGTTCTCCAGGTGAGTCAGGAAGTCCTGGATGCACCGGGGCTGGGTGAGTCTGATGGGCCTCCTCACCCCTCCCTGCCCCCCACGCCCCCCCCCCACGCCCTTCCGCGGGCCGCCCCGCCGGCCCCGCTCACTGTCCAGCCCTCCAGCGCAGTCTGGTACTCGGCAGCCTCCGTGGCCTCTCGCAGCAGCTCATGGTATCGGGGACAGCTGCGTGTGGGGAACCTCAGCAGCTGGGAGAAACAGGCTCAGAGAGGACCGCGCGACTGGGACCCCAGGGTCACAGTGCGGGGAGCTGGGGCTGTGGAGCCCTCGTCCAGATCTCTCTCTTCAAAGTATGTGGTCCCTCCCAAATCTGGCTGCACGGCACGGCGATGGCGGCTCACCCAAGCCGGACAGCTCTGACGCAGGGACCGGCCCACGGCTCCCGGCTCCCAGCCGTCATAGGCTGCCGGGGCCCACACAGCCTCTCCCAGCCACTGGCTCCCTCCACCTAGGGGTCTCGGTCTCTCTCCATCCCTCCCACCCCCTGCTTCTCTCCAGCCTCCTGACCTTGTCCTCGGTGACGGGCACCGTGTGCACAGGGATGGGCCTCCAGGCAGCCTCTGGGCGCCCCGGGGCAGCCTCGGGGAACAGTCCTGCGAGGTTGGCCTGAGCGCTCTCCAGCGTGCGGTCAAAGTCAGTGCTTCGAACATAAACCTGCCGTGGCGGGGAGACCAGTGTCGGCTCAGAGGCCCACGGCAGCAGCGAACCAAAAGGTTCAGTTCGGGGTCGAAGGTCAGGTGCTGGGAGTCAGAACCCAGAGTGAGGTGGAGTGTCTGGTCTTCAGCGTTGGAAGGTGGGATCTAGGGTCAGAGGTCAAGGTCATTGGGCAGTGGGGATGGAGGTCAGAATTTGGGTGAACATGTGGGATTAAAGGGGTCAGTTGCGTCACTGGAAAGGAAGATCAGAACTGCTTGAGTTCCGAACTGTTGGAGTCCAAGTTTAGAAGGAAGGTGGAAGGACACGGGACCAGAATTCAGTACATGTCTATCAGGGATCAGAGGTCGGAGGTCAGGAGGAATGATCCTAATTGGAGGAAGTCAAAAGACACAGGAGGACATAGGAAAGAGGATTCAGATCTGATGAAGGGTAGAGATCAAAGACTGGAGCTCAGGAGGGCAAATTGAACCAGTGAGGGTCAAAGTCAGAATCAGTCAAGTTTTGGAGTCAGAAACCAGAGTTCAGAAGGTCTGGTTGGAGTTGGTGGGCGTCAGAAGACAGAGGTGGAGGCCAGAAAATAAAGTCAGAGTGGATGGAGCCCCGAGGTCAGAGGTGAAGCATGGGACTCGAGTTGAGATGGGGTCAGAGGTCAGCATGAGTTAGTTGATGGTTTGGAGGTCAGGGATCAGATACGGGGTGCAGATCAGGTTATTGGGGGTCTAAGGCCAGAGGTGGAGGCCCGCAGCGAGTGCTGGGAGTCAGTGGAGGTCAGAGGTGAGAGGTCAGGAGGCCAAGCGAGGGTCATCCTGTTAGCAGTACCTCCTCCCGCCGGTACTCCGGGCTCAGAAAGGCCTCGTAGCGGCTCCTCAGGAAGCGTCCCAGCTCCAGCTGCTGGCGGACGCCCTCCTGAGGACAGAGAAAGCCTCAGCAGACCCCTCCCCGCCCCCCCGCCCACTCCTCACCCGCACCCCGGCTTCTCACCCCAGTCAGCTGGCCCAGGCCTCTCGGCCACAGGGTGGTGACGGCCTCCTTGTGTGGGTCGGTGGGGTAGGAGGCCAGTGGGGCCCGGTCGCCGTGGCGGAACACCTGGGGACGGGACCAGGTCAGGGCAGGCTGGGGAGAGGACGGGGGCCAGGCCAGGGCAGGGGACACCTCACCACAGCCACAAACACCAGGGGTCCTTCGGCCAGAGCCCGGGGTGGCGGCGGCAGCAGCAGCAGGAGCAGAAGTCCGGCGGGGAGGCCCCAAAACCCTGGCCCGTCCATGTCCACACAGCCCAGACGCTGAGCTCAGCCCGCTGTCTGTGCCGCAGCCCCACCTGCTCATTACCCCTGCCTCAGCACCCCCGGAAAAGCGGGTCCCGGCATGCCTACCCCGGGAGCCAAGGTGGCCTCCTGGGATCCGGCTCCCCCAGGGCCTTTGCCAGCCTTGGATTAGCCAGTGGAGTAACCAGTTTTATCTGCACTGTACCTCTGACAGGGGTTGATACGGTTCTCACCGTCCCCATCGTGCAGATGGGGAAACTGAGGCACGGCGGGTTCCATAACTTGCCTGAGGGAACACAGGCAGTGAGTGGCAAAGCTGGGATTTGAACCAGGGGCCCTTAACCTGGGTGCAAAAGGAGACAAAGAGACCCCCACCCCCACCCAGCCCCACATTCTAGACACTTTCTCTACTTTCTCCTCTCTCCCCACAACCCAAGTCTGTCTTTTTCTATTCTCACCCCTTAAATGTTGGAGCTCTTTGAAGCTCTCTTGGGCTTCCTGGAGATGTCACCTTCCGGTGCCACCCACATCTGGCCCCAGCCAGCATGGACCAGTGGTTGAACACCCAGACCCTGGATTTGGGTTGGCTGGGTTCAAACTCCTAACGTAACCGTTTACAAGCCGTGCAACTGTGGGCAAGTTACCGCACCTCTCTGTGCCTCCTCACTCATCAAATCCATAAAATGGGAACGAGTGCAATCTCAGAGAGCTGCTTTGAGGATTAATGAGTTCAAAGGGCAGAGTGTCACCTCGTCAGAACCTCAGCTGGGAACACGTGTGCATCCAGCAACTCAAAATTTTAATCGTTCTGCGCATGTCCACGAATGCCCGCAAGAGGGCAACGGGTATGCGTTTTGGGATTACAGAGAATTTAGCGGGGAGGTGAATTCGCAAAAATGGGACCCGTGGATAATGACCTTCGACGGTACTTGTCTCTTTAGCCTCTGTGTTTCTGGTAAACCGAGAAGTTAGTTCTAAAGGCGTAAAGGACAAAAAGAGTCGGACGCCTGTAATGCTAGTGGGAAGGCTGGTGGCGTCAAAGTCAGGGACCCCCGGGGTGGGGGCGGTTGGAGTCTCTGGCGCTGTCCCTGTGCCTGTGGTCCACAGGTAGGTGCCGCCACCCCCACCCCCAGCACGGGTGACAAGACTCATTGGAGTCCCCAGTCCAGCTGCGGTCCCTCTCAACCTTGTGTCTGTTTTCCCTGGGGCCACCTCCCGGCTTCCAGCCTCCTCCCTGCTCCAAGACACTGACGCGCCCAGAGCTGACTCGGGGCCGCCCCTATTCTCAGCCTCCCATGGCTCCCCAGCACCCTGGGGTGGGATGGGGGGACCAAACTCCTCAGCATAGTGTTGGAGATCTGGATTCTGCAATCTCAAATGTCCCGCTCCCAAGTTCAGATACTGCATGTAACATTCTGCATCCCAGTCCCCCTCTCCCTCAAGCATCTGCCCCGTGTCCCCTCTACCCAGAATGCCCTGCTCTCGTCACCACGGCCACCATTCTGGTCTCCCAGGCAACCCCTTTTAGGTTCTAGTGGCTGATCTGTCCTCTCTGGTTCAGAGTCCAGGAAAGGAAGAAGGAGACCAAGCAAGCACGGAGTTCAAGGCCATGGCCATGAACTTTCAGGAAGTGAGGAGGGGTCTGGGGGGGGGGGAGGGAGGGAGGGCAGGGAGTGGGCCCTGACCTCTGACTGCTCCCCCCAGAATGTAACCCTGGCCATGGCTGTATTCACCATCCTTGCCTCCATCTACTTCTTCAACAAGGTGAGTGGGAAGAGGGTAGGGGTGGCGGGCTGAATCTCTGTCTTTTGGGGCCCCCATTTTATCCACTTAGCCTCTCCTCCTCTCCCATGCCTCTGTGTATCTCTGTGTCTTCTTCCCTTAGGCTCAGCAATGAGAAGACACAGGGACGCCTAATCCAAAAGCATTCTGCCCTGGATCATGACTCTGGCCTCTGAGACCAAATAAATGGACTGAATCAGCAGATCCCATTCCATCCTGGCTGGTGCACAGCCTCCCCGGCTCTGTTTGAGGGACAGGTCTCCGAATCAAAGGGAGGAGGGGCCAGGTGTCCAGCCTCCTCGGTCTGACAAAGGAGGGGCTAGAGGCCTGGAGTCCCTGGTTTGAGACAGGGAGCTGGGTTTTGAGGGATGAGTAGGAGTCTTTCAGGAGCAGTTAGAGAGGAGGAAGGACATTGGAATTCTGGGTGCAAAGGCACAGAGGGGAGCAGCGCCTCGGTGGCTCAGTTGGTTAAGCATCTACCTTTGGCTCAGGTCAGGATCCTAAGGTCCTGGGATGGAGTCCCACAACACAAGAGGCTGCCTGCTCAGAGGGGAGTCTGTTTCTCTCTCTCCCTCTGCCCCTCCCCTCTGCTCGTGCTCTATCTCTCTCTCTCTCTCAAATAAATAAAATCTTTAAAAATAAAATAGCACAGAGGGGAGAGAGAGCAGGGCTGACTCACCTGGTATCAACACAGACTGCTGTGTACTTCAGATATATTCCTTCTCTCTGAACCCTGGTTTTCTTCTCAGTCTGACAAAGGTGAAAATCTTTGTTCAGTGGGACCAGGTGGCTACAGCCAGAAAAACTTGAGATCAAAGACACGAATGGAATTTGTCAGCTGCAAAAAGTCTGTAGTTATCATCTTCATTGTTATATATTTTTTAAAGATTTATTTATTTATTTGAGAGAGCGAGAATGAAAGAGAGAGAGAGAGTACATGAGAGTGGGGAGGGTTAGAGGGAGAAGCAGGTTCCTCGCCGAGCAGGGAGCCCGGTGCGGGACTCGATCCAGGGACTCCAGGATCATGACCTGAGCCGAAGGCAGTCGCTTAACCAACTGAGCCACCCAGGCGCCCCTTCATTGTTATATTCTATCAACACCTTTCTCTTTTCTTAGAAAACTCCTATTCAACCTTCAATACCCACTGTCAATGCCCTTTCCTATGGAAGACAGTCTGTTACCAGCTCCCTCACTAACCTCCTCCTCACCACTCCGTGACTTCACTCCCAGTAGATGGAATACCCTGGGTGACACCCCAGCCTTTGGTTGAGCTTCATCCACCTTCTCATCGGATGAACAATTTCATTTCGACTCAACATCTGAAAGGGCAGCTCCTGAATAGGGTGACTGAACATCCTGGGTTTCCCAGGAAAGGCCTAGCAAATTTTGATTAGGAACAGATTTATAGCTTCACTACGATTTTGTCTCGCGGATTGCAAACACTTTGGGCCAGTTCTTCCAACATCATTGGTAACAGCGTCCTCTTTAATTCTCAAAAGCGTCCTGATTTAGAGGCCCTGGTTGCAAAACTACGAGTAACCACACGGGAGAGGTGTTGGACCATTTTCCCAGCTAGAAGTTAGTCCGCCCGGCTCTGGGAGGGAATTTGGTTTCGCAAACCAGAATTCGGAGACCTTCCTGCCCCGCTCCCAGGGTTTCTCTCTTCCTGGACCTTCGCCTTGCTTCCTGTCTCTCTCCTCCAGCTCTCACAGAGGTCCTTCTACAACCAGAGCTGACCCTGTCCCTCCCTGCTTGCAGCCTTCCTGTGGCCCTCAGGTCGCGTCCCCGCCCCCTCCCCCAGAGTCCCAGCCCCTCAGCCTGGCCTTGGAGGCTGTGTACGACCTGACTCCCTCTGGTCTTTATTCTTTTCTTTTCCTTTCTTTTTTTTCCATCTCACCTACATCCTACGCACAGCTCCCCCCCCCCCCAATATCCTTAACCACATATAACTCAGAGATAGTAAAAAATGCCACTCCCCAGTATCTTTGCATATACATGCTGTGCTCTCTGCCTGGAGTACCCTTTCCCGCCTCTGTTCTGCTCTGTGTCGGCTTCCTCTAGAAGACTTCCTAAAACCCCTCCTGCTCCCAGTGTGGCTGCCTGCTCTCCCCTCCCATCCTTCCAGGCTGTGACCGGGAGCTTAAGAGTGGGGTGCACAGAATAAGATCTGACTCCTAAGGGACCCCCAGCTTGGGTCTTGGCTGTCAATGCTTGTAGAACAACCAAATATAGACAAAGAAGTCGGTCTTTGCATGACCCCCTCCCCCGCCCCAGGGTTTTCAACCACTTAGTGCTGGGGTTCTGGGTCCCCTGGGAGCTATTAAGGTTGCATTTCCACAACCACAGGCACTTCGGAGGGATGGGGCTCAGCCCGCTGCCCCTGGGGATCCCTGGGGAGCTTTTGAAACTCCCAGAGCCCAGCTCCACCCTGGACCACTTAAACCACAACGCCTGGGGATGGGGCCTGGACATTGACTGGATTTTAAAAGCTCCCCCGGAGATTCTGATGTGCGGCCAGGGTCAGAGGCATCTCTGTAATGTGTTTTCTGAAGACAAGAAGAGATGGATTCCCCGCCCCCCCACCCCTCCTTGGAGCTTAGTGCATTTATATCTGAGGCAGCTCCGTGGATACATCAAAAGACTCAGAACGTGGAGCAAAATTTAACCTTTAGTTTAGAAACATTTGGGAGTTTGAAAACCAAAGAAAGCAGACAAAGTAGTTTCTTCCCAGAGCAGGGGGCAATGGAAGGGTGGTGGGGAGGCGCATTTCCCAGGGCAGCAAGAGAAGATGGGAGGGATGGGAGGGAAGTGAATGATAACCAACGACCTGCTAAACCAGAAAAGCCCCTGGCCCAGGGCTGCCCCATTCCACCTAGGGGACCAAGGCATCGGACTTTCCAGTTTGAGCCCCCAAAGCCCTGGATCCCAGGAAGCACTCGGTCCCAGGATAATCAAGATGGGTGGTCACTCTCATTCCCAAATTCCTCTGCTATGTCCACAGTCCTGCCTTTACATGCAGGCCCATGGCCCTCTGGCCCTCTCTCCATGGTGTCCGTTTCCCTGTCCGTCTGTCTCCCCCGAGTGCTCTCCTTCAGACTGATTCCGATGCTATTTCGGTCTTTCGCTAGAGCTCTTCATGTTTCTGCCTCTCACTGGGTCTTTGTCTCCATATCTTTTTCTGTCTCCTCTTCCACTTGATCCCTCCCAGCAGCCTGGCCTGCTTCTCACCTCCCCTCCCTGCCTTGGCTGCCATCAACTGCCGTGTCTATGCAGTCCCATGCACCTGCATGCATCCCCTCCCCGTCTCCTTCCATTTCACCCCATTTCTTGGGGTCTCTGTGTCCCTGCCCCGCAGGGTCTCTTGGGGTCTCTGTCCCACTCTCTCAGGGTCTTCTGTATCTCCCCTGACCCCGTCTCTGTCTCCCCCCACCCCTATCCTTCTCTCTGCCTCTCTGTCCCTCTCTCTCCACCTCTCTCGCTCTGCCTCCCCATTTTCCTATCCATCTCTTACTGAATCTCCACACCTCATATTCTCCAGAGTCGGAGGAGATAGGACCTCCCTCACCCT